GTTACCTTGGGAGAGTGCCCGTTCCCACACTAAAAACATGGAATCTAACAGGGCTGTGGAGATTAGAAAGAAAGGAGTATTTTGCAGATCAGCCATTTAGTAATTGGTAATCATCATATATAATAAAAGGCTAAGATGCAAATTGTCCCCTTGTGAGTTTGTCTGGGAGTTCGATTCTTGCTATGACGTGCAGGGGTGGCGCAGAATTTGGCGGGCAAACAGCAACGGGCGGTGGCGGGACTAGGATGCTGAGGGAATGGGGGAAGGAGGCAGGGAGGCGGGGAGGCAGGGAACCTGATCAGCTCTGATTGCCAGCCAGGCCTAGGGGCCCTATACGTGCACAAATTTCATGCACCGGGCCTCTAGTTATTCATAACTATTAGTTTCTTAAAAGGTAGGTAAATTCAAAACAAATTTGAGTTCACACCCAGTTAGGTTAATTTGCACCAGTTTTATTTACAAGTGCATTACATTTGCGGGGGGAGGGCAGTTTCTAGCCTTTTCCACCAAGTAGTTAATAAGCCAGGGAAGCCTCCGGACAGGGCTGGGGCTGCAGGCCTGTGCCTGCCAGGCTGTTCTGGGCAAGCCCCAGGCTCAGGGGACACAGGTTTGCCCTCTGCTGATACTATCCCTGCCCTTTCCCCTACCCTCTACCCCCTCAACTCAGCAGAAACACACTCAAGGCAGTCTTGACAAACATTTGCTAACGGCCCAGCAGTTTTCAAGAGGGAGACACTCAAGTGCAAAGTGGGTTGAGGATGCACACAAAGGCCCAGCAGCCCAGGCGTGCAATGGCAAGCGGATAAGCCTTTCTCCAGCAATTTCAGAGGCAGGGCCTTCCGTCACATCTCCCCCGGCACTGCCTCCAGAGCAGATCTTCCCCGAGAGCTGCCAACCTGGAGCAGGTGGCAGAGGCCAGTGGGAACGCATGGCGGGGCCGTTGACTGACATCTGAGCATCCGCTGTGCTGAGGCCACAGCCTGGCTCGAGCTGATGACCTGGGCGGCCCACAGCCCTTCCAGACTGAAGGGAGAGGAGGCACGTGAGCCCCCCTTTCCCACCCCACGTAGCCTCTGCTCCAAATAACTGTCAGTGTCTTCCCTGTTGAATTTTAATGCTGACACCAATGGGACCCATCAGTCTTGGTACAACTCTGCCACAGCCACACCCTCAGTGAGGCTTCGGGGGCATGTGAGGAGGGGAGGAGGATGGCCACGGATAGGGAGGAGGGGATTGCTGAGATGCAGGCCCGCTTTCACATTAGAAACGCTGGACACGAGCGTCACTTGGGTCTGAGTGAGGGGTGGGCACACAGGCAGCCTGAGCTACAGGTGAGCTCCTCCTCTTCCCTGCCTTTCCGGCTGTCCTCGGCTCCCTCACTGAATTCGGTAACTGCATCACCAATAGGCCTTCTCCTATTGTAGATGTGGAACTTACAGCTAAAAGTCATAGCCCAGCCGAAACCGGTTTGGCTCAGTGGATAGAGCATCGATTCCGGTTAAGGGCATGTATATTGGTGGCGGGCACATCCCCGGTGGGGCGGGGGGGGGGGGGGGGGGGGGAGGGGGTGCAGGAGGCAGCTGGTCGATGTCTCTCTCTCATCGATGTTTCTAGCTCTCTATCCCTCTCCCTTCCTCTAAAGAATCAATAAAAAATATTTTTAAAAGTCGTAGCCAGATCTATCAAAACCAGATCCTTGTCCTGGGCCCCGATGCTACACTCCTTAACGAAGACCCTAACGTGAGGTAACAGCTCATTTTGCTACTTTGGTTCAGATGGGGTCTCCTCACACTGGGCTGCAGGGATCTGTTCTCAGCAATTTCTCCTTCTCTCGTTTCTCAAGGGCAACGGCTGTGCTTTATGCCCTTGGGTCAGCGTCAGGCACATGTCATCATTCGTGATAAACAAAGCTGACTCCCGGGCCAGGCCTGGTCTACAGCTGGGTCTTATTTTGTTTGAAGAATAGAGTTTTTTATTGTTGAAATTAGGAGATTCACTCATAGTCTGAACTCCTTGGCTTCTCTGGGAAATTTTGAAGATGGGGCTCTTGGGTCCATGTTCCTCCCGCACGCAGGAGGCTGTCCTCTTTGGACACATGCTCCCCACCTGCCCGTCTCCATCATGCCCTCTCCTCTCACACCTGAACCACTTCCACTTCATGCCCTGGTTTGACCTACCTGGTCCCTGTGAGCGGCAGAGTTAGCAGCTCCTTTGGTAACGAGCAGTAATGGAAGCCAAGGTGTCCACCAGGCTCACCAGTTTCCAATCCATGCTTTTGAAAGGCGTTCCCATAAAAGGAGGTACTGCGGGTAACCAGGCTGTTCCATGGATGCCAATGGCAGTGATGTTTGGTTGATTTGGCTCGTTCTCTGGTCCATCCTCACTGTGAAATAGGTGGTGTGTGCCACTTGTGCAAGGGAGAGGTGGTACTGGCTTTATCAAGCCACTGTCATCAAGGAAAACACCTCCTGACTTCCCCACTCAAATATTCCAATAATCATGACCTGGACACTGACCAAATATCCAACACCAAATGATAGAAAGGGCGGTGGAGGTGGGCAGGAGGCATCATTCCAGGCTGAGGCAGCGGGGCACAAGCTTGTAAGTGCAAAACCGTCCTGCGGGGGAAGGGAGGCAGGAAAGGCTTGGAATTGGGGGTGTGGCAGGAGGCACGTTAAAGCAGTGAGCTGTGAGAGAACCAGGATGACCCACTGCAACACTCAGCACTCATGTGGGGAGATCCCATGTGCAGTCACCCATCCCGACTTCAAAAATGTTTTCTATTATTCATTTTTGGGAGATTTGACCCACTTATTTATGCATTCATTAGTTGATTCTCGTACGTGCCCTGACCGGGCATCGAACCTGCAGCCTTGGCGTATCGGGATGATGCTCTAACCAACTGAGCTACCCAGCCAGCGCCGCACCCATCCTGATGTTTAATGTGGAATGCAATAAATCCCTAGAAAAATACTCCAGCGTAGAGTTTTTTAAACCATCTTTAGGATTCTTCAAACTAGATCCTCCTGCCCAGATCAGCATTTTACAGCACTGTTTAACGGAGCTGCTCTGGTGATGTAGGTGGGCAGGAGATCCTGGCACGCTCCTTGCACGCCCAGGAGCAGAGCTGACCACTGAGCACCCTTCACAAAGCAGAACAAGCCACCCAAGAGCTCCTGAGACTACGTGCTCCTACAGAGATGAACAGTCCCACTTCCTGTTGCCACACTTTTGACTATTTATTGAATGAGGCAGTAATAGACAGAATGGAAAACAACACAGAATCCATGCTCTGCTACTTGGGTTTTGCTTTTCTTCTTCTTCTTGGCAATTTCTCAAACTAGTAGGAGGTTATTTCACCACAAAGGATCATGGACTTTAAAGTCCCTGGACAGCTTCACAATGGCGGTAAAAAATAATAATTATAAAAATAACAAATTATAGAACTAGACTGTTTATATGTAAATTTCCCTCCCTCCCCCCCCATTACGTACAGAAAAAAACATACAAAGAACATTGGATAATTTTATATAAAACAAGCAAATACAAGAATCTGAAACTTTTCTCAAAGGCTGAGCAAGACAGGAATAATTTTTTAATGTTGCGTTAAAAAAACACATTAAATACACTATCACACGTGGGGGGCCTGGGAGGAGGGGAAGAGTTGTCCCTGTACTCAAGGAGCGGAGATTTGGCCTGTCGAAAAGTCAGGTGAATTTAGCCACTGGAGACTCAGGGCTTGCAGCTGAGAAATCCCAGATTGAAGAGTTACAGAGAAGCCCAGACCCAGGGGCACCGTGAGGGGGCAGCTGTGCGGGGCCTGGGCCCCCAGGACGCGAGGTCCCCTCTGAGAGGGCCCGATCCAGAGCTCAGGAAACACCGGTCCTTCCTTTTCTCTTCTCACGCCCCAGCCCGGTGTGATGGGCAGCCTTCCTGGGCAGGTGCCTGTCAGCTCCCATCTCCTCTGCAAAGCTACAGAGCGAGAGGAAGCAGAGAATCGCTTCCACTGGTGAACCCTGGTCTTTGAGTTTTTCTCTCCCTCCTTCCTTTCCCCTTCCAACCCCTCCCACTCGCCCTCCCATTCTCTCCCCCCTCCACACGCCCACACACACACAATGCGCACGCACTCCTCAAACCCTTAATACTTCTGTTACCTTCAGTTCATATACATGACCACGTCAGGACTGACCTTACAACCAAAGCAGTATTAACAGTCATGAGATCGAGGCTTCCCGCGAAGAGGTGATGGAGGCGGAGGAAGCCTTTAAGGACATTCCCCTGCCTGTGGCAAGGTCAGCACCTGGGCCAGCCCGAGGAGCGTCTCAGCTGCCAGGCCACGGGGCCCCTGGACCCCACCAGTTCTGGCCCTTCCTTCCTCAGGTGGGTCCAGCAGGGAGAGTTCGGTGGCCACTGGGAGGCAGCTTTGGTGAAGGCCATGGTCACCTCCACCTGAGTTTGTCAGTAGCTCAACGCATGACCCTGGCATGAACAAAAATCAGTGACTGTGTCTGGCCACGTACCCTACACCCACTAAACTGGGTGAATTAATTTTTTTCCACAGCGCACCTTAATTTCATACAGATAATTCCATGCGGGTTTCATATATATATAGATATATGTATATATATATGTACACATATAGACTTTATATATATGTAAATGTGTATATCCATATGTACACATATACATATATTCACATTCGCACATACACACACATAAGTATACATACATGTTTTTGCAGAAAGAAGTCCTGCCACAATTTGGCTTTTTAGGGACAGTGAAACTGACAGTGCAGTATCTTACTCCACCAATCCCAGAAAATCAAGAGTGGTGCTTTAAAAAATGCAATTCCAAATCCGCTGCCTTTCTTCCTTTTTTAAAAAAGGGTTAACAATACTTTTCTTCCAAAGTCGAGAGACTTCATTCCATTTGATTGCACCTCTGCAATGTGTAAAAATTTCTGAAGTAGACTAGAAAACAACGTCATGATAGGGCCGATGTCACTGTTCCAACGTCACCACTTCCACAGCCTGGCCGTCCATGGTGACTGTGCTATCCGCGATCCTGGTGGTCACGGGGGCCATGGCCACCTGCACCGGCCCGTTGCCTTGGGCGAGGCTGGTCACCACAGTCTGGTACATGCTCACAGGGATCTGGACCAATCCTGAGGAGAGAAGGGAGACTGTTGGTGGAGATCGGGCTCAGCGTCAGATGCTGGCTGGACAGGGCACCCAGCTCAGTTCCTCAGGGAATCACATACCCACTTCCACACAATTACACCCCGTCTTCACCCCCTTTCAATTCTTTACAACAGGCGGCCAGGGAAGAAAAGTCAGGAGAAATTGTGGAAACATGCCTCAGAGCATGGCGTCCCCAACTTGCCAAGAGATGACACCCCTGCCTCTGACTGTAGGAAGCACAGCCCATCCCTGTCCCTGCGTGGAGCTTTAAGGACAGTCACTTGCCTGTGGCAGGAGAATAAACCCCTTCCCACAAGCCCATCCCTCTGCTGCCTTAATGGTCCTCTAGGAAAGGCCTCCATTTGTTGTCTGATATTCGGCTACACTAGCTTCGCCAACCCTTTCTGCCTATGTTCAAATTCTCTCAGCTTGACAAAACATTTCCCTCCATCCTATCCTGGCTCTTGCCACTGTCACTCCACTTAGAGTCAACTTATTTTTTTTAAAAAAGCAGGAAAATAAAGTCTAGGTCATAAGTTTTCTGATTTTAGATTTCACAGACCTATAATATTTTAAAATACATTTTGGGGTCAACTTAAAAAAAAAAAAAAGACTCAACTACATCCTCACATTCCATTACTTCACAGTAGAAAGAGTAGAAAAGAAGGATTAACACAAAGGAAGGAAGAAGCGTGTAATCTCAGAAAAGGGCAGTCCTTCCTGAGAAGGGAAAGTTGGGGATTTTATATAACATTAAAAAATATTTGCATTAAATAAAGCAGAATAAATGCATGCATCAAACTCCTCTTCCTCCTAAAACTAAAATTATAGTGAAGGGGGCAAAAGGATAGAAATGAGGGAGATCAACATATGGTTGGAAGACTTAACGCGAATATCAAGTGATTCTGCCTCATCAGATTAGTGAAAACTGCAACTCCAGTGTCCACGGGCCCAGCTCCTGCAGGAATAGGGGGAGAGGCAAAAACAGGGAATGGCTGAAAGTTTGCATTCAACCGATGGGACCGGCAGCCACACCAACCCCAACCCTGTTGTTGACAGGACATCTGAATTCATTTGTGTTGAGGAAATGACCAGGAGAGGCCCACGAAGAGACTTGTAGTGATGTTTGGGGGTGGACAGGTGGGAGGTAGGCGGTGGGCGGTGGAGGAGAAGAGACAATGAGAAACCTGGCCTGCTTGCTCTAATTCTTACCCCAAGGACTCCTGGCACCTAGCTCTGCCCTACACACCCTCACAATCAGCCTCTCAGCGCCTCACTCTTAAGGAACACAGGAGAGCAGAGACAATGTGGGGAGCAGAAGAAAACAAGTGCCCCCCAAATCTAATATCTTTAAAGAGAGAAAAAGTTCATATCATAAAAATGAGATGCTTTTATTAAGACAACTATGGGAAAATTTTTAAATAAAATGATATGCATTCTAAAAAATTATATGAAGATAAAGTCAAGGAAATCTTCCAGAGTAGAAAAGATTAAGAGATGGAAAGTAGGAGAGAAAATATAAGACTTACAAGAGTCAATCTCTGATAACAGAGTTCCAGAGAGACTAGAAAAAACAGAAGGTAAGAAATTATCAGACAGATGTAAGTAACATCTGTAACTGAAACACGTGAGACCCAGCCTGACCAGGCCCACTAGATGCTCAGCACAACAGATACCAAGATTCCCAAAGATGGCAGAAGGAAAAAGTCATCTACGAAGATCTGGGAACATAATATTGTGGGACTTCTCAAAAACGGGTCAAGAATGCATTCGAATGTCGGAGAGGAAATGTTCTTAGTCCAGGATTCTGTATCCAGTTCATGAAAGATGGTGTCTATGTCAGTTAAGTGTGGGACAGGATAAAGACATCCTCAGACGTGTAGGGCTCTAAAAATGGCCACCCACACACCTTCTTGGGATGTTCTGAAGGATGCACAGAACACGAGGAGTGGCCAAGGGATCTAGGAAACAGAGAATCCTCAACTTGTAGTGAGCTCAAGGGGCCAGGGCAAGGGCTATGCAAATTTGAGAGAATGGAGGGGAAATGGCATGACCACACATCCACCCCAGAGTGTCACGATCATCACCTTCATCTTCTGTCTGGTCAAACAGGCAAAGTTAATGAAATAACCCCAAACACGCAGCAGGGAGGTCAGTGTGCACTCCTCTGAAGAACCCACACTGGCAAACAGCAGCCAAACCAGAAGCAAAGATCACTTTCATTTCATAGTACTGCTCTTGCTTCCAGGCTCGATTCAGCTAAGGAAGCTTTAAGCCTGGGGACTAAGTCACACACTTTACAAGCACAGTGACTACTGTGAGCAGCCTGGCTCTGGGCTGCGGTGGAGAGAATGTGAAGAATTGTTAGTTAAATCTCTTTCACCCTGTTCTCCCCCTCCCCCTTTCACCCTGGTTTATGACATATTTGGGTTTCCTCTGATGTGGATCCATGTCTGACATGTTAACACAAGTTGAAAATCATGAAAGATTTGCCCTGAATAAAACAGAGAAACGTTCAAATGCAGAAATACAAGTACTGCTATACTCAGATGATCTTTTGAGCACATGATTTTGTTGTCCTCTTTCACAATTCTTTAGTAGCTCATCCTATCTAATAAAAGAGTAATATGCAAATTGACTGTCACTCCATCACACAAGATGGCTGCCCCCATGTGGACACAAGATAGCCACCACATGATGGCCTGCAGGGGAGGGCAGTTATGAGGGACCAGGCAAGCAGGGGAGGGCAGTTAGGGGTGACCAGACTTGCAAGGGAGGGAAGTTTGGGGCGACCAGGCCTGCAGGGGAGGGCAGTTAGGGATTACCAGGCTGGCAAGGGAGTGGTTAGGGGGTGATCAGGCTGGCAGGCAGAAGCGGTTAGGGGCAATCAGGTAGGCAGGCGAGTAGTTGGGAGCTAGCAGTCCTGGATTGTGAGAGGGATGTCTAGTGGGATTGAGCCTAAACAGGCAGTCGGACATCCCTCAAGGGGTCCCAGATTGGAGAAGGTACAGGCTGGGCTGAGGGATTCCACCCTCCCTGCATGAATTTCGTGCACCAGGCCTCCAGTAGGATATAAAGTCCAAATCCCAATGCAGGTATTTAAACCCTCATGTCAGCCCGTGTGGTCCAATCCACCTGGTGATCCACCAGCCTCTTTACACCCAGCCAGGTGAACTACTTGATTATGGATTCCCACACACCTCCACACAGGAGTGGTTACTGCCCCCTCAACTGACTACCCTCTGCTTGTCCGTTCTCCACCTGGGCGCCCCTTCTCCTGGGCTCCCACAGCACTCTGCGCTGGACTCCATGGGGGCAACGGTCCTATTCATTATTGCTGTTTGCATGTCTTGTCTCCGAGGAGCCTCTAAACTCCTGAGGGAGGGATGGAGTGGAGTGTCCATCTGTGAGTCTCTAGCGATCCACAGGAGCTCAGTAACGGTTTTCAACACTCACGAATGAAACCTGCCTTCTGAGATGTCACAGGTGTCTGTCCTCAGGACTGAGCGATTGAACTGGATGAGTCTCCGGGTGATCAGGCTGTTTTAGAATGGGAGCTCCCAACCCAGAAAACAGCAATATAAAAACCATTCAGGCCACTCCAACAGAACCCCTTTTAAAGAATCCATCTTTTGTACTTTACCCCACAACCAGGGAAGAAATAAATTTGGCCTCTACAACTGGGTGATGAAATGACTTGCATACAGAGCTATCTCAAGAGGGAATAACCAGTAAAGGCAACTACATATCTGACAAGCTTTTCAGAAGGAGAAATTCCATATGTAAGGTAATTTCATAACCTCACATGCCTTGAAATTCCAATTGCATTATCTTCCACAGGCAGTTTCAGTCCATCGCTACCTTAAATAAACGCATTACCACCCCACTGTGGGATTTCAGAACCAGTCTCTCTCTTTCATCCCCCCGCCCTCCAGCCATTGTGACAAGGATTAGATTAAATCGTCTCAGAGTGTCTGACCTGGCAGCCTTTATGTCCATGGCGAGGGAGGGGGAGGGGACTGGCAGCTTGGAAACCCAGCAGGTACTAAATCGGCCGCTGCCCTTGGAAGAGATGATTAAATGCTGAGGTACAGTCATCGGGCTGGGATTGTCCCGGCATCTGCTCAGTCTGGCCCTGATTAGCCCTAATCTAGAAGGCGGGTGTTAATCCAAGCTTGCATTCTGGGTCATTTCAATTAATCAAGAAACAGGAAACCCTTCACATTCTACTTTAAGGGCTTGAAGTCCTTCCTTTTGTTTTTTCAGAGAGAACCTGTACAATCTGAGTAACAACACTCGACATTTGTAGAGGACTTTTCAAAGCTTTCTTTCCAACACCCCCTGCATATCATCTGGTTTCTGCTAAGACCCTGCAGAGCAGGCAGGGCAGGCGTTCTGCCCTCTCACCGATGACAGGCAAGCTCCCCTGGCAGATCCATGGACCTACATGAAGGCATGTCTTAGAAGTCCCCCAATCTCTGTACCCGAATCTTCAAAGCTATAAGAAACCTGAGTTCATTCAGTTTAGTAAACCCAATCCCCTTTCTTTTTCTTTAAATGCAAAGTAAACAGATAAAGGGTTTAAAGCGAAAACACATAGACCAAGAGAGACCGAGGGGTTATTTCTCTTGGGAGTCTCCCCCTGCGACAGAACGCACAGGCAGGGAGCACCGGGGCCAGCGGGGCTCATGGCTGCCTCCCCTCCAGCTTCCAGGTGAGGCTCACACAGCCGGCCAAATGGGAAAAGAGGCCAAAGGTGTGACTCAGGAGCTTCAAGTCCCACCCAGCACAAGGATTTCCTTGTCAAACAGCAGTCAGAACAGAATCCCTGGAGGAACTGCTGGCTGGGGGATTGCATTTCCCTGTAAAAGACGATGAGACCTGCTCTAGTTTTCTACCAGTTGGCATCATTCCTTTTTTATTTTTTAATACATCTTATTGATTTTTTTTACAGAGAGGAAGTGAGAGGGACAGAGAGCCAGAA